CGATCTTGTGTGTGTGCCTGTGTGTGTGTGTGTTTCAAGGTCTTAAAGGGGTTTTGTTGCGGCTTTCTTAACCATTTCAAGTCATCAAGGTGCATAGTATTTTACAGTATAACAGCTCAGCAATGAATCATACTCAAGTTTGTTCTCTGTCTCTCCCTTCAATAAATACTGTTTCTTTTTCTCTTTCTGTATGTTTCTCTTTCTATCTCTTTGTGAGCACTGATCTCCAGCCTGTGGTGAGCCCGTCAGCTGCACCCCTCGAAGTATCTCCATATAAACAATTGGTATTGTACTGAAAGCTCACATAGTCCCCTAATTTTATACTTCTGTTTTCCAATTTCTCAACAGTGAGTTATAACCAGATCTATTAAATAAGTGAGTAGCTTTGAACCCTACCAAGGTCACCAGAGGTCATCAAACTCGTGTCCAAGTACAAGAGGTAAAGGTCAGGATGTCATTTAGAATCGTTTCCAGAAACAAGGTATAATCTCTTTGATGTTGATGACTTTGAGCCAAAGTTTCTCTTGATGCTTCAGTGTGCTTGGCTGGAGATTTGAAGCCTGGCATACTGAAAACAAAATTTATTGTTAGGAATCTGAGAGCCAACATTTAGCCTGTTCTAAATATCCTTCTGGAAAGATCAAACTGTAAATTAAAATAAAGCTGAGTGATGACGGTTTTAGTTTGTTTTCTTTGAACTACTGTTGCTCTTCTCAAAGTTTAAAGGGTGTTATTATATATTCTGACTTTCTCTTCAGGGCACTTCACCTGCCAAATGGTGAAACTGGAGTGGTTTCTAATGTATACAATTTATAGAAGTATATCCTTTATTTTCATTATTTATTTTACTACATAAAGTAATATCCATGACATTATTTACTTTTTAATTGACTTTGTGCCTTTAAAATTTCTCCCATAACACATAACCTGATGAACATTTGTTTCCGGCAACATCTACAGGTAAAGTGTCCACATCTTTTCTTCACATTCCCCTGCGTATTGTATTTATTTTCTTCTTTCTTAATCTTTAATCTTATGTTTACACACATGTTTACTCTTCCTGTTACTACTTTATATAACCCCATTATTAAGCATTTTTACATATTACATATTTACTTCACACCTATTCATAAGAGAAGCGGTTTAGAGTCTTACTCAAGGGCATTTTGGGCGGATGCCCCACAGCAAAAGGACAAACTAACAATGAAAGACAAAAAAACGGATAGAACCTGGAGTGTTTTTGATGTGTTGTTGTGACAGCATACAATGCTTTTTATTTAATTAATTATTGGGAAGCATGTGGCCTTTAGACAGACATGAAACATATGAGACCAAAGTCTGGCCCTGCCTGTTCCGAAGTTTCATCAAGAACCCAAAAGACAAATTATTCTCTTTCCTTGGCCCATGAAACCATTACTACTTATGTCATATCAGCCCCCACCCAAAGTTTATTAGTCCGCAGTACTGATTAGAATTTATGTCACCAGTTCTACATTTGACTATTTCTATCGTTACGGCTACTGGGAGTCCAGCTGTTGTTGAGTTCGGCTGACGTGCTTCACATTTGTGTTTTGTCTGCATAATCAAGGAAACCAGAAGTAAACTGATGGAAAGATACAGGCCCAAATTACTTAGGAGGAAACAGCGAACAATGAGCAATTTACGGTCGCTTCTTGTCTCTGTTCCATCACAGTGCTTGATATCGTTAAAGCCTTATCACTGTCATTTACATCTTTCTCTCCCATTGCCCAAGGCAGAAACTTCTGTGGAAGCGCCAAAAGAAGTTGGTAATTATGTCAAGATTTTAATTTAACACAACTGCTCCAATAGTTAATTATTAAGGTAACATAGGAGTTAGATTTAATTAATAGACACTGAAATACATATTTGGCCCTTTTATGTAGCCTAAAATATCCCACAATATAACAATTATTCTGATGATGATTATTATTATGTTATTGGATAATGACAAAAATAATATAAAATGTCATTCTACCAACTTGAGAAACAGTCCACTTGTCAGCTGGAAAGATACATACAACTATAGATGAAGTTTCCTGGTATTGAGCACCATCACTTTACTGGAACCTCATGACTGATTTGACACTGCAGTAATTGACAGAACACGGCGAGCACACGACCACCATCATAACAGAACAAAGTTCAAACTGGCAACTTCCGCCATCTGTCAAACACAGACTGACTGATCTGTAAATGTTTTAAGTCCTGAGAGTTGGAGAAATTACTACAGTTCCCCTGAAGAAACAACAAAACGGGGGCACAGTACAGCTCATTAAAGTGATGTCAACAAAGCCAAACTATACAAATTTGTTAACTCAGCTACTGAAAAAGTTCATTATAATCTCTTGCACACATATCAATCTTATTCATGTGCATATGAAAACTAAAATACACCAACCAGTGAAGCAGCCTCAAACCCTGTCTCTACTACATTAATAAGGTTGTTTTTGATTCCCCTTTAGGAAAAACTAGGTTACTGTGTGTTTGGACAACCGTTTTTTATATATTTTTTTATTTTGAATTAGATCGCTTTAAAAAGACAGATTCCCTTCGTTTCTGTGTACCTGCCCAGGGACTACTGATAGAAATCTGCTACAATACATCTCTTCTTGTGTGAGATTAATGTTTTTGAAGACGTGAACCGTAGAATAACCATTACTGAAATTGCAATTGCAAAACCCGTACACACACACACACACACACACACACACGCACAGTCTCCACCAGCAGAAATAAACAGCAATGTAACAATAATAGGCCACTGTTGACCTAGCCAATAAAATCACATTGTTATGCACTGTAGCGTTATCATTGGCCCAGTAGCCCACGACACATACTCTTCACCTGTTTTATTGTGTATTTTGTTTTCTTCTATATATTATGTGACAGATAGTGTAATATCTACATTAATACCAGAGGGACATAATGTATCTAACTGTGTTTTGGTTCCTAGATACATAGAGCACAACAGAGTTAGTATCTTAATTTAACTTGGTCAGTTTCAAATGAAAGCACTGATATGTGATACTAACACAGTATTGTTCAAGTTCATTTCAATGTAAAGGGGCACTCCAGTAATAATACATAGTTGTGAGTGGCAGATCCATACTAAAGCCACTGAGGAAGTCATACAACTGTGTTCATAGTTCTGTTCTGAGTAATGCTCCTTGTGGCAAGTAAACAGGACTCGATGATTTAAATAGGTGAAGTGAGCCTTTAAAAAACACAAATGAAATCAAACCTGTTAATCCTGGAGTTATAAAAGTCACTGATAAAAACAATAAACTGCAGGATTTGTGCTTTGACTGTGTCCAATATGAATGGATAAATTGTATCAAAATCTTGCTTTCAGAGAAAATGTTGCAACTCTTACTGTTGCTCACACACACACATCCTGTCACTTCCAATCCCCTCCCCCACTCACCTGTCTCCCAACTCTATTATTATGCAGCCTCATACGGGCATGGATGTCCTTGTAGGTTTCGCGGGCATCCAAGAAGTCCCTCGAGAACTTCTCGCCGAATTCCACATCGGGGCTGCAGCCGCCCCACTCCCAGGAGTCCTGGGGTCCCGGCAGATCGGCAGGGAAGTGCTCCATGACGCCGTGTACCATACCCTTCCCCCGGTGGATTGCCTCCAGTTGCAAACGGTGCAGTTTGATGCGAAAGGCCTCCTCGTCCCCACGCCGCTTCTCGTCACAGCTGCATGCCTTCAGTTTCCCCATGGAGCAGGCATTGGCTACTGCGTGCACCACACCTGCTGCTGCGATGGCATATGCAAAGGCACTCTCTCTGAAACCTGTATTGTGAAAGCACAGGGTAATGTTGTTATTATATAGCCTAATGTGGAAGTAGAACATTGTAAGAAGTGTCACAATCAGGAAACAGAGTTTGGATAAGAAAACATAGTTTCATAGCTTAGTCCAAGACATGTTTTCAGATAAAATGGGAGTTACCAAGAGGAAGATGGAATTTAGGAGTGTCAGTCACTGTGCCTCGCTGCAGTTTGACACAAAAACCTTACAAAAGTTGACATCAGGGTTGTTTCAATATTCAGGAATGTGCCTCCTTTAGGAAGCCGCTGTAGATGCATTTACAAATGCTATAAGATAAAGTTTATTATTTCCAGTAACCTGCAGGCAGAACATACCAGTGTAGCATTTGTCATGAACCTGTCACAGGAAATGAGAGGATTACCAGGTAGATGGAAGATGACATTTCCAAGATAACAATCCAAATTAAGATTACTCTGACTAAGCTGCTGTTTACAAGTGCTTTTTACTTGTGGTCCATTTTCTATTTTTAACTGAAATTGCATCAGAAATAGCAGCAAAACTTTTTAATTCCCCACATTAAAGTGCCATTGTAAAACTGCTGGATACAGCTTTAAGTTGTCAAGTAATTTTCCTAGCCTTAAAACTCAGTTTAACAACAGCTAAATGAGCAAGAAAAATAAATATCTGAACCTCTCTGTTAGCACGTATATAACATGTGTTATAATGCTAAGTGAGTTCGCATTTTGCACGCTTTGTGGGTGACTGACACACGACTTACCTCTCCGGCTGACTGAGTGGCATCAGATGGCTGGAGATTGATCCCTTTATCTCTTCTTGTCATATCATATTTTGCAATGAAAGTTCAGGACCAAACTATGTGTTACTTAAGTGCATGTTTTTAGGTTAGAGAGGCTGATTATGCCGTACCACAGCTTTTGCCTTGTAATCATTTCAAATTGGCTCAGACGGACTACTGCATGTAGAGGAGGTGGTTAAATGACTGTGTGCATGTAATCTCTCTATACAATGTGTGACTGCTTTTGCCTTCACAGCTAAACACATCCCTTTCTCCTCGACAGCGAGTCTAACTTGCATGCGGCACATGTAATGAGTATAAGTCTACCACAACTGATCTGTAATTCAGGAGACTAATGTTACAGTACTCTCATCTTACACACGCGCACTGGAAATATAAACACACATACACATTCACCCTGTCTATGTTGATATATTTCTGTGACATAAAAATCCATGTCCAATTGTGGAATCCGTGAATATTGAAGGATGAAGTGCGACAGCAGCACTTGCACTCGTACCCTCTACAGTGTTTGTTGTTAGATCTCAGCTTACTGCCTGTGAGCATGGTGCCCTCAGGTTCTATAAAAGCAGCCCCACTGGCAGTCACTTACTGGTGTAGAAAACAGTGAAGATTATAATGGAAACTTGTAAAGAAAACATGAAAAGAAACCACTTAGGAGTTTATAGCACACTGCTTGAAGGGGAAATGATTCAGGCTGCTTGTTGGAGTCAAATAAAAAGCTATTAACTGGAACTGCCCATTTTAGCACTGTTTGATGTTACTTCCTTATTTATATATTTAAGTAAACTTGATATTATTGTTTTTGTGAGATATGATGTAAAGTTTGATACATGCTCTCATGCTGGACTTCTTGCATATTTGATACTGGACACAAGAAATTGGATTCACAGAAACCATAATGAGTAAATGAGAAAACGGTCTGATGTTCTCCCTTGGAACTGTACTGCACATTTGCCAGTAATAGTAACACTAATGTCACTGTAACACTATAACAACACACATAACAAATAACAAAGTTGTATCCCTTCACGGTCCATCAGACCATCACAATGCTATTTAAGAAGACAACTCCAGCACTCTTGCCCAGATGAAAGCATGCAGATAAAGCAGAAGCATATTGTAACATTGTAAGGTTCAGTTCCTTGCTTTGCTTTCGTTTTGACATAATAAACCTCTCAAGGCAATACTAATAGAACTCATTAATACAATTCTCTCATTTAAATTCAACTCAGTAAGGTGGTTTATATCTGGAAAAGTTCCCTTTCTTATCTAAAGAAACCAGTGTTTTTATGAACTGTACCACTGTTAGGCAGCCCCCTGCAGGTCTGTTTAAATGCTGGGGTGTTTTAACACAGGGGTGTGTGAGTGCTCCGAATTCTCTGTGCCAACTATACAGCAGCCCCAACGGATTGCACCGATAGATCATGGCCAGATGTACAAAAAAGCCTCTTACTGTCATCAGGAATGTTTAATGCTGCATTCAAATGAATTCAGGCAGGTGGTAGACGGCAGACAGACAGCACCTTCCTCACAGCACGGAACAATTATTATTAAATTATTATTATTATTAAATACCGCCGCAGAGAATGGCAAAAAGTTCAAATATTTTCACTTTGGACAGCAATGCAGTCTACTTTTACCGTTGCCGGTCTTTTACCATAAATTTACCGTCCTACTCTCATCCACTAACATGGCATCCGGTTTACCGTCAGTCTGATTCCATGTGAATGCAGCATTATACTTTCAGGTACTACTCCTAGCAGATTGATGAGATCCAGCTGAAATTTGGTCAGAATACCCTTTAAAAGTTGATAATGACATGTTATGAAACTTGAGAATTTATTGAATGCTTTTGCTGTGGCAACATGTTTCGATTGGGCAGCTTAATATACTCCAATACTCATGAAACTCGGCACACATGTCACAAGACAATACATTTTAAAAATGATATTGGTCATGCACATGGGTGTGGAAAAATGGCTCTATAGCGCCCCCTTGAAATTTTTACTTTTCAGGCTTCACTCCACCTGATGAATGCCAATACTCATTCTCATTATAGCCCTGTTTTGATCTCCACAAATTCCGGAGGGAAATATCTGGCTCTTTAGCAGCTATGTTCCACTTCATGTTTGCCAGTTAATCACTTAACTTTGTGTGCTGTTTGGTTGTGCTGTTTTGGCTGTTGGGTTTATCAAACCTTTATTTGCTGAAAACAGCTTCACTCTGCATCTGGAAACAAGAGAGCAGGAAGACTGAACCAAAACAGTAAAGTTGTTTG